GGCAGGGATTTCCTGCCTGCAGCAGCCCGCTCCTGATTCCTGCTTCCCCTTGCTCCTCCTTCAGCACTGGCTAAAAATTATAGTGGTTTACACACTTGATAGCTATAAACATCTCTCTGTGAAAATGCAGGGTATTTCTTCTCTCATGGAGTAAATTGAGCAAATTCCCCAGCTGCAAAAATCAGTCATTGACTGTAAAGATAAAAAACTAACGCAGGATTTCTGTTGTATTTCTTTTCTGATTGTGTCCTTGATTATATTTAATGGTGCCTTCACTGCGTAGTTTTCCATATGTGGAGTATTTTAAAGTATGGAATCAAATTTTGGGAACTTTGGAATTTTGGGTTTTGTTGGGGCTTTTTCCTGCCCTACATCTTGTCTCTTTTGGTAGGCTAAAAAGCTGATGACTGTGAGATGCCCTGGGCTTGGCTGTTAGTCCTTTTCAGTCCCCATGGAGGGAAAGGGCTGCACACAGAGCCCCCACATGTGCCTGGAACACTGGGATGTTGTGGACTGGCAGACACAACACTTAATCATCAGAATAAGGAAAAAGTCAATTCTTATTATGTATGCTAAAAGCATCCAATGCCAGTGCCAGTACCTCCTAATTCCTTTTCTGAATTTCATCTATGCTGGTGCTTTTTATCCCTAATAACATTCTTATCAGTGGTGGCTTGCCATTTTATGGGGATGGATTTTAGGCAAAGCATAAGTAGAATAAGCAAAGAAATTATCTGTTGTAAACTTCAACACTAGTAAACATTAATATCTTTAACCTTTTGACTTGGAGCTCATCACTCATTTCATTGCTCTGGCTTACGACTGCAGATTAAAATTTCTTGCATTCATCTTGCTTGCTGAAGTAGCTTATTGGGTTGAATAAATGGCACCCTAATTAGAAGAGTAGCCTGATTGAGAACAAGCTGCTGGAACCAGCTTTGATGGTCAAAAAATTACCTGTAGCTAGTTTCTCAAGATTATCAAAGAGGCCCTCAAATTAGAATGTCTGTCTTTGATCATAGATGTGAGGAATGAGGCAAAATGAGTGCACCAAGCAGATGGCAGTGGGAGGAGATGGTTGCTGTGGATTGGGAAACTGGAGGAGTTTTTACAAAGATTCGGGTCCTTTCCAGGCATTGCTCTACCACATAGTGAATGAGATAGCAGTATAGGGCTTATTTTTATTTCTGTTTTCCACCATAAAATAGCAATGTATGCGTTGTCAAAAGTTAAATTGATTAGGTTATTTTTAGAGAAAAATCCCTCTTCTATCATTCCTCTGTAACCTTACCCTGACTTTTCTAACCTGTAGTGTGACAAGCTTCAAACAGTACTAATCTTTAGTAATCTCTTTCCACCTGGCTTCCTTACCTGGCTGATTCCCACTGCCTGACCTGGCTGTGGCTGTGGGTTTGTCCAGATCCCTGCAGGACCTGTGGGTGTGACACAGTCCCACAGGCACCTGACAGCCTGAGGCCCCAGCTGCCCAGTGCAAACATGAAGTCACAAAAGGTAGAAATGGGATGGCCCAGGACTGAGTTACAAGTGTGGGACAGAGTGACAAAGTGTGGGAGGAGGAGAGAAAGGCCTGACCTTCCCAGTGGGAGAGGATGGGATCTCCGTGTTCTTGCACCATGGGTTGCTTTGCTGGATCAAGCTAAAACCATGGAAAAAGCAGGATCTGGTAAGAGGAGGAGCAGTCAGGCACAGCCTCCAGCAGTGCCTGCCCTTCACCCTGCCCAGACTTCTCCAGGGGCCAGCACAGGAACAGTCTGGTAATGAGCAAATCCTCTGCTCCACTGAAATGGTTGATGCTGGTTTCAGGCTCTGAATGTGGGAGCTTTGGGTTCACCCCACCTCGTACAAGTGTCATGGCTCATCCCAGGTATAAATGTCTGGTTCTTCCTCTGAATCCATTGACCCCTTGATCTCCGTGCCAGCTTCTTTCAGGAAGTGTTTTGTGTGGAATAATTTTCTTTTTGGAGATGTAAATATGCTGCATTGGGTTTATTGCCTTTTTTTTCTGAGATAGACACTAAATGGGAACACCCAGTCTGTCTTCTTTATGTGACGGATCATTTAATATACTATTACATTATTTTATTTGTCTCAGTTCTGAACTAAACTATCCTAATCTTTTTGTTTCACTGAAGGGATGAAAAGCTTTCCATATTAAAATATTTTTGTGGCTGTTTTATGCAGCATTTCTTCCTGAGGTGTCATATGCATAGAACTGAGTGCAATACTCAGTAAATCATGTCATTGATTTTCTCACACAGAAAGCATGTAATCTGCTGGTTGCCTGCCTTTGCTGTGACACCATTTGCATGCCCTGCCATTAGGAATTGGAGAGAACTTCTTAAAAGCTTAAAATAAAATTGTGCCATTTCTTTTTTGCCCATTGGTTCATGGTTTGGTAGGAAGAGCAGGTTTCCTTCCCAGAAGTAATGATAAAGAGCAGGTCCCTTCACCATGTGCTGAACTGATGCCTGGTTCTGATAAGGGACTAATTTTGCATGGCTCAGCCACCTGGTTCCTGAATTTCTCCACAATTCTTGGCTCTGCACAGTCCAGACCTGCTGTGCTGTTGCTGTAATTTATCAGTTATTTTTAATACCTCATTTTTTTATAATGGCTCATAGTGGTTCGTTCTTAAACTTAATCCTTCCAAGTCTTTATTTAATGACTCCTGAGGTTCCCAGGGGGGACTGGGACCACTGGAGGGTGCCCACTGTGCTGCAGCCTCAGTGTTGTAGCTGTTCCTATCCTGGCTGTGAGCCAGCCCCTCCCTCCTGAGTTACCTGCCTTGACTCTTCAATGTGTCTTTGGTTCCTTTGGTTTAGTCAGTTCTTCCCCATCCTTTCCAATGCTGTTTTGTATTTTGATATCCACAAGTTATTTGCTAAACTGAAATGGGGGTTTTGGGGGGTCTTGGGGGTTGGTACTTGTGGGTTTTGCTGCCTCAGGTGTTCAACACTCAGATCCTTGGAGCCAGGGCCTGCAAGAGTGCAGGGGAAAGAGGTTGAAGCAAACAGGAGTTGCAGAATTGCTGGACTCCACAACCCAGGGATGATCCACCCTGTTTTCCTTCTCAAGCTGTGCTCAGCAGAAGGATAACCACAACTGTTCCCAGGTCTCTGACTATAAAAGCACTATAATGTTTCTCAGGTATTGCTTTTTTGTTTGTTGTGAGCAGACTCTGGAGAGGTTTGGTAAAGTTCATTCTCCTCTACAAGTGTTTGCATGTGCTTAAACAAAAGGAAAAAAAGATCAAAGGGCAGAATTTCAAGTGAGCCAGGAAGGGTAAATCAAAGATAATTAGATTGGTCAAGATACAGTCATACTTTTAAAATGCTGTGAGGGACTTAATTCTGTTTCCTTTAAATAAAGTAGGGAGAAACTGAAATGCACTGGAATTGGGGATATTTTTTGAAATTGTAATTATTGTGACTTTTTTCCTGTCAGTTGATATGCTTACCTGTAATTTGCCGCTAAATCTTAGAATGTTGTACAGCCATTTTCCGAGAGCACACAATTTATAGTTTGGCTTCCTCACTTTTTTAAAAGTAGAAAATAAAATCAATTTTCCACGTAAATAAAAAAGTATTCCTAAAGAATATACTGTACTGCCATGTCTGAGCACTCATCATTATAAGAATTTATATATATCTAAATGGACCATATAAATTTAAATTTTATTAATACTAAATGATGCTTTTTTTTCCCAAAAGGAAAAAATCTCCAGTTAAGAATGTCAAGAATTCTTATTATTGGGACTCGTAAGAGTCCCTATTCAAATGCCAGCCTTGGCTGGCCCCTCAGCACCAAAGGGCAGAGCTTGGCCTTGTTACAGCTCTGTGTGTTCCCATGTGGTGATGCAGAATCTATCCAGAGTACCTGGGCAGGTCCCGAGGATATTCCTTGCCTTTGCCTTGTTCTGTGGCATTACCTCTTTGGGTTGTGTCAATTGCAGAGAAATGTCCATTTTCTTCTTAAGCATCCCAGATTGTCTAGCCATGGGCAGGTTTTTTCTCCAGTTCCTTGGTTATTTCTATAATCTTTTATCCTTACAAGTTTTAGGGAGGAAAAAAAGCCCATATTTAAGGTTTTTCTCACTTAATTAGTATTATGAAAGATTTATGTAATTTGAGCTCTTTTTGAAGGAGAAAAAATACAATGTGAAACAGTCAAACAGGAAAAAAAAACTGATCTGCAGCAAGATAAAACTTCTTTTTTAATAAAAGTGGTATTGCCCAGCATTTATGGAAATGTCCATCTGTGCTCTCTGCCAGGGTCAGAGCTCTGGCTTGGTACTGCAGTGAGCTGATATTTAGCAAATATCCTTCACTTTGGGAATAAAGTTGTGCCAGCCCAAAGTGCTTCTTGCATTCTTTAGTTCCTTGGGTTTTCCTGGCACACCCTGAGTGAAGGGAGTGCTGGACACTCTCTGGGAGCATTCCCACA